TCGGTAGGCCTATCTTTAATTTTTTATCAGATTTTGCTTTGAATGCCATTTCTTCTTAACTACCTATAGGACTTCAAAGAGTAGCTCAAGAATAAGCTTAGAAAGAAGTTTGGCGCTGTTCCGTTCAGTAGTTAGGGTAGATTGAATTGTTGATCAGTAGCCTAGTTGACACTTTAAGGATGGAATTGCAATCATAACTTAAAATTCTCAAATCAATACTGTATTATCAATGGTATTTTAAAAACCTGCTGGAGGACCCATGCTGTTCCGCAGCGTTAAAATAAATATAATATCCAAGAAATAATCAAATTTTTGATTTTTGATTGAGTAATAACTTGTTTATAATTGGTTTTCCTTTATAATAATTAGGAGTAAAATGACTACACAGTATGGTTTCTAAAGTCCATAGTGGAAGTGATGTTTATTTACAACAAATTAATAAACATAGCAATCACATGGCATATAATTAACACATGACAGCTGCTTCTAACTTAGTACCTAGAAGGCAATGAGGAACAAGATTACAAATAAATTCCAACACCCCTCCTTAATCTTGATCCTTCATGGGGGTAAGATCAAGGTCGGTCATGAAACCATCGTGGTTGATTTTGCCAAGTGATTTTGTCAAAATGTCCGCTACCATCATGGAAGTTGGAACGTAATTCAGCACAACTAGTTTTCTCTTGATTATGTCTCTGACAAATAACTGTTTACGAATCATATGTTTGGTCTTGTCATTCACGGGTTTCTTCTGCAAAATCTTCATTGCTGGCATGTTGTCACAATGCAAATTTACATGCTCAAGAAATATTCCCAGCTCTTCCAACAAGCGCTTCAGAAACATTGCTTGCTTGCATGCCTGAACCATTGCTACAAACTCTGACTCTGTTGAGGAATCAGATGCATCTCTGTTTCTTACTTCCCCAAGACACAGGTCCTCCACACAGTTTAAAAACATATCCAGTAAAACTTTTCCCATCAAAGCTGTTTCCATGACTGGCATCAAGAAAACTATGTAGATGTTCTTCATCAGCTTGCTCCTCCACAGCATGCTTCCACAAATTCTTATTCGGATCTTCTATTGCCTCTTGATAACTACTTGGCTCTAGATCCTCACAGGTAACCATGTAGGTAACAAAATCAGGAAACATTTTAGGTTTCCTTACTCTTAGAGGGTACCTACTCCCAACATTAATTTCAACACCTTCCTCATCATTTCCCGAATCCCCTTCAGTGGATCCTCCAGTTCCAACATCGTCATCATCTCGCTCAATGTTGATATTATCGAGAATGAAGCTCTCCTCTTCTGCCTCAGGATTCCTGCAGGGTTCATCGAGTTTGGCGGTCTGGATGCTTACTATGGTCTCGACTGGTTGTATAGTTTCATCACCATTATTTTCTTCACGCCCATTATAAAATAAGTTTCAAAAAACTTGACATCTCTAGAATAAATCAATCTACGGGGAGACTTAGGATCGACCAATCTGTAACCTTTGACATCCTCACTGTAACCTACAAAAATGTGAGGAACACTCTTATCGTCCAATTTGGTCCTTCTCTACTTAGGCACATGCCACCCTAGCCTATGCGTACGTAGCCTATGCACCCGAAAACTCTAAGGTGACTGAGGTCCACTTTCGATCCAGTCCATTTCTCCTGTGGCGTGACTCCAAAAACAGCTTTTGTAGGACTTCGGTTCTTAAGATAAACAGCTGCCTCCACAGCATACTGCCAGTAACCCTTGCTCAAATTTGAGGCACTTAGCATGCTTCTAGCCTTTTCAATAATAGTTCTATTTGCACGCTCTGCTACCCCATTCTGCTCAGGACTGTATCGAGTAGTGACCTGGTGCCTTATTCCATATCTATTGCACACTCCTTCTAGTCTCGCATTCATGTACTCCCTGCCTTCATCTGACCTAATAGTTTTTGTAGTCTGGTTGGTCTGATTTTCTACTAAAGTCTTAAACTTAAGAAAACAATCGGCTACTTCATCCTTTGATTTCAAGAAATAACCTAAGGTCATTCTGGTGAAGTCATCAATAAATATTAGCATGAAGCGATTACCTTGAAGAGACTGAACATTCATAGGCCCACAGACATCCATATGGATTAACTCTAGTTTTGCCTCAGCTCTCTTACTTGGAGTGGTTGGGAAAGATTCTCTCGAGTGTTTCCCCTCTACACAGGGAATGCAAGATTCTGGCCTCTGACTAGGAAAATCAACACCCAAAGCCATCCCCTTTTTCAAAATACCCATGCTAACATGATTCAAGTGACCCAACCTTCTGTGCCATAAATTATGAAGGTCCACACTAACTGACTGGTCAACTTGAGTAGACATAGCCAAATTGTCATAATTTGGATCAATGTTGCATTTACTCTCTGTATCCAACCGATACAGTCAGTTTACATTTGTTCCAGTTCCACAGATTTCACCTCTTACTGAAAACCCATCTTTTAAGTAAATATTACACCCTTTGTCATCAAAAACTAAAACTTGCCCTTTACTAGTTATTTTGCTCACAGATAGCAAATTTGAAGACAAATCTGGTACATACCTATGTCACATTCGATATCACTCTCTCACCAAAGCTTTTAAGGTTCACAGAAACTTTCCCAGAACCCGCAGAGTAAATTTTGGTATTATTAGCGACAGTGACCTCTTTAACTCCCTCATTCGAGTTAAATGTTTGAAAACTTTCTTTACTTTTAGAAAGATTGTCAGAACAACACGAGTCTAAGTACCAGCTTTCAGGTTCTACCTTTACATTCAGAGCAGTTATCCAACTTACATTTTTATTTTTGTTTTTACTGTCTGAGTTACCAATTTTGGAAATTGACCCAATCTTTGAGCTATTACTAATATTAGCTTGATTATTTTCAGGACAATCCCTTATCATATGGCCTGCCTTTCTACATTTGTAACAAGTAGGAATAAAAGGCTTCCTCGTCTTTGAGCTATTATTAGAGTTAGCTTGACTATTATTTGATTTTGATAGAAAAGGCTTCCCAGTACTGTTTTTAAAAGTTGAAAAAACTACAGAGGACTCAGTGGTATCCTTTTCAGCCATGCTATTTAATTTTTCTAGTACTTTACTATATTCTACTTTATCTGTACTCTCGACTGCCATCCTAAATGCCCTGTAAGACTCAGGCAAACCTCTTAGAAGTAGACACGCCTTCATTTCATCCTCTATGGGTTTCTCTATGTCAGCAAGTTGAGCATTGAGGTCAAGAAATTTAGAAATATACTCACTCATGTTGTTGCATACTTCCAACTTCAAATCTAAAAGCTGGTCCAGCAGAAATATTCTCCTGTTTGTGCTCTTGACTTCATACTGCTTTGCTAAAATGTCCCATGCTTCCTTCGCTGATGTGGCCGTCCTGATATGTAGTTTTGGAGCTGCCTCCAGGTGCATGGCAATCTTGGTGAGTGCCCTCTCATCTTTGTCTGGATCCACAGTTAGCGGTGTCGTCTCTGTTGTTAGTCCTTCGTGGTTCAATGCAATTCCACAATCCCTCATACTTTGGAGCCATTTTCATATCAAATTTCCAACTGGCATAGTTGGCTGACCCTTTCAACTTAGAAATTCCAGAGGCTGATGTGGAGTATATAACTTTGTCTCCCATCATAGTATTTAATAAGTGTTCATTCAATGAAATTTACTATAACTAGTGGCTTGTAGGGACATAAGTCCCTAAAAAGCTCAAATGTAAAACAACTTTTTGCAATACCGGTATTTAAACAAACTCAAAATAACATTATCTATGTGTCAGAATAGGCATCCCTACACCATATCTTTTGTGTTCTTCCAACACAAACCACAGTTTGAACAAAAACCAGTTTGTTGTTCTTCTTTGTTTGCTTTTGTTGATGTCATTTTCAATAAATAATTTGAATCACTCCAGTGGTTTAACATGAAAAGGCAGCAAACATATCATTGTTTGTGAATAAATACTGGTTTACTAAGGTAGCTTTGGTCTTGTGGTTAATGAGGATAAATAAAAGCTTCCCTGTTTGGAATTTTAAAAATTCATTGGAGGTTCGCCTTCAGATGAATTGAAGACGCCTGCAATTTCATCTGCAGTAGGCTTATTATACCTACGACGATCCATATTTATCCTGTCTACAAACCTAAGTTCTAATTCACTGTCACCTTGTACAACCATTTCTTCCGAAGCTCTTTTGTAAATTTGTGCAAATGGATTTTCTAATAGAATTTCAGCTAGTTTTGACAATATTTCAGGTTTTAAGTCACTATTTTCTCGACGCCTTCTTGACGAATTTCTGTTGCTGTTGATGTGTCAATAATGTACAATTGGCCATACACGGGGTCTTCATCATGTTGAGGCAGCAAGTCTGAGATTGAACGATAAATCTGTCCTTGAATTTTGAAACAGTATGGTCCTTTTCCTGGAATATCTTTCTTACTGTCTGAAAAATAAGCAAAAGCCATCGCACTGTTGCATTGTCGAATGAATTTATACAGTTGTGGGCTCTCTTCAAACAAACTTTTAAGTTCTACATTAGTTTTTGACTGAGGAAGGTTAGGCCTAATAAGTCCGTTATGGCAACATGTCATAAAATGATTATTCGTTAGTTCTTCTCTAAAATGAAGAGCACTACATTGAATGCACTCTTGGTCCAATAATCCTGCATCATGGATCTTTACAGTTCTCTCGTCTACCATGGGTCTCCTAAAAAGGGGTTGTAACATATCTTTATTAAGTTCGTCATTATCTACTCTTGCTCTCCTACGCGCACTGTCATTCCTATGAACAGTTCCCCGCCTTTGTGGTATTCCCCTGGCGTTCATATTAATTACAGTACTTATTGTGGGAAAATAAAACTCTTCAGAACTTTCTACAACTTAGTTATATTTTACACTTTAAAAAAACAGGACAACAAAACGAACCTTCTCTAAACATTATATTCAACTCAACACCCATTAGTCACCATGACAACCGAAATATCCAAAATCGTAAACATAAAGGACACTAGTCAGCTGATGCTAGTTCACAGCTACACGCCCCCGTGGTGTCAACACCACCACACGCCCTCGAGGTGCCGACACAACTTACACTTTCATTTTTACTTTCAACTACTTTTCGCACATCTGCTATGTGATGAGGCCTGCCATTTACTTCAACACTTCTGGGTAAAAACTGTCCAGTAACCACTCCTTCCTTCCATCTCGAAGTACAGGATGGGTTTGGCGGCTTGACATACACACGTTCACCTACTGTAAAATGTGACCCCTCATACACTTCACCTTTTACAGGTTCACCTTTACATCGCCATTGGTACGAAAAAATCTGGGAACTCGGCGATGAATCGCCACCTAATCCTTCTTTAGGTGTCAAATTGTACCAATAGACCATTTCTTGGATACTCCCTTTAGTTCTTGCGGCCATACGCTTGATTGTTCTGTGGTTTCGCTCAACTATCCCGTTTCCACTTGGCCGGTTGACACACCTAAACACAACTTTAATACCCCATTTATCACAGAGCTGAGTAATCTCTTCGCATCGAAATGTTGCACTATTGTCCATCAAAATCTCATGTGGTGGCCCTCGATCAGTAAACAATTCCAACAACACTTTAGAAATCTGATCTTTCGTCTCTTTTGGGATCCGGCGCCAAATGCAGAACCTACTTGGACCACAGTCCACAATGGTCATGAACTTGCTTTGACCATAGTGTGTTACGTCAATGGCAAGCCTATACCAATTGTTCTGGCAATCCAAATACCCAGGCTCCCATTTGATGCTGGATGGATCAATTGACAGACACTCTTTACAACTTTTCACAACTTCTTCAACAACTTTTGTGGTAAAGTTAATGTCTGGGTGACACCGTCTGGCGGTGAATAAAGTACGGTTAACACCAAAATGATGCAAGTCATGAACCTGTTTCACCAATGTCTTTTGGTCCACACTCTCATTCTCACACACAAGTGCAATGCTAGTCTCTTCGTTTCTTGCTAACCATTTTTTTGGCACTCTTGTAAGAAGATCTGCTTTGTTGAACTGTGACTTAATGAGTTCTATTTGTACATTGAGACCACATTCCAAAATAATGTCTTTAAATAGGCTTAATCGTCTTCTAACCAAAACTTCACTTAACCCATGTGTTTTGATAGGACGGTCCCCCGTCAGTATAGATGACACCCAAGCATGAACTGTTGCTGAATCTGTGATTAATACGATCTTCTTTAACCCCCAACGCAGGGCCAAATTTACTCCTTTTAGGATAGCTTCCAATTCTGCTAAATTGATATGTGCTGAATCATGCTGCTTCCTCAGCCACGAAGCATCTTCGACTATCTCACCTTCAATTTCTAGACAAACTCCGATCGCTAGACTGCTTGCGTCACACCACACTTTTCCTTCTTCTCCAGGGGACACAGCCCATTTGCCAGTGGCTGGGTCTCTTTCATCGATTCGATCCATAATATTTGTTAACATAGTTTGCGCACGTTCACTGATCAAATCATCCCACTTCAGATCCGACAAATGTCTCTTAACGAAACTACATGCAGGTCGAAGCCAGCTTGCTACTGGATAGTGTCCAATCAATTGCCCACACAACGAGAAAACATCTTTCTTTGTTTTAACTTGGTCCAAAGGTTTTAATTTGTTATCTCTGTACCACATTAGCTTACATCCTGCTCTTCTCAGCCTTAGTCCTAATACTCTGCCTCCATCAAGCGTTTCTGCCGGCTTTGCTGTCAAACCATATGTTTCCAACAATCTAATCACAACATCACTACTGACGATTTCTTCATTAACGACGATGTCATCGACATATGAATCTGTGGCACTCCTAACTATCGGATCCATCGATAAAACCTTGTTAACAATACTGCTCATAATCTTTGGGGCAACGTTTAACCCAAACCCAAGTCGAGTTAAACAATAGTTTTCACCCTTAAATTTGACAACTTGAAATTTCCACAAATGTGGAGCAATATGAATTTGCAAGTACGCTTTACGAAGATCAACTGTACTCACATGTTCACCCAATCGTCTCCACAATCTTAACTTTTCACTACAAACCTCACTTCCAGCTGTATGGCTTGAAACGAATTGGTTAAGTTCTCTATAGTCCATTACAGGCCGCACTTTATCCTTATTTTGCTGTATGACAGCCATCAAAGGAATCACACCTTCAAACTCTCCATGATAGGGCTGCAGCCAACCACTTTTTATCCATTCTTCAACTTCAGTTTCGAAGGCTTCGGTAGCATTCTCAGGAATTCTGTACATTTTTACTTGATTTTCCAACATAGGCAGTCTGTTCACATCCTTCCAATTCCATTCCACTGTCCATTTTCCATCTAAAAATTCTGCCTTAAAATCACAGTCTTCAATAATGATTTTCTCTGCAGATTTCTTATCAATATTAATTTCTTGCTTGGATTCGATCTCCCTGATGATTTTCTGGTCACCGTCACCCTTTTGCTCAGATTCAGCCACTGCTCCAGTACACAAACCCTTTTTAAATTCTACGCCACCATCCCCCTGAATCGTAACTCCACCCATTGCAGAAATCGCATCCATTCCTAATAGCACCTGATAGTTTGGCAATAATCGAGCAACTAAACAGTTTAATGATAGGTTAATCCCACTAACGGACACCTCTGTCTCACACATTAAGTTACAGTCTACTACGTCCCCGTTCATCATTACCACTCGTTGACTTGTGGGCCTTATTAGTTTCTTAGACCTGACAAGACTCGGTGAGATAATAGTTCTTGAACACCCCGTATCTAATAATGCACAACACTTAGTTCCAGCAACAGTTACCATCAACGTCGGCAGTTGTGGTTGCGCAGTCAAACAAGGATAGCCACCCGCGCAACAAAGGGTGGCCCCTTTTACTCATTTTTTTGAGCCTGTGAACACTTTGGAGCATAATGTACTGCTTCTCCACAGCGGAAACAAATTACATTCGAGGTGCTACTCGGCTTTCTTTGTGGGCATGATCTTGCTAGATGTCCTTCCGAGTTACAGATAAAACATTTTTTACTATACTGTCTTTTATTTACGGACACTTCCATCTGAGCGGCGGCTCCAACATTGGATTCACTTCCATTCACTAAACTTCTCGCCCTTTCTAACACTTTTGACAGCTCCATGTCTTGCAAACAACATGCCGCCTTTAACTGATTTTGAATTTCTCTGGGTAGTCCGTGAACAAAAGAACTCTTTATCCACTCGTCAGAAACTGAAGAATCTATTAATTTAGCCAACCTTTTCAAATCAGATGCGTAGACATCAACAGATTCTCCTGGAAGCAAACGTCTGGATATGAACTCCTCATACGCTTGGAAACAGTTAGCAGAGAAAGCCTGCTGCAAAGCTTGGGTCAGGGCGGAGTAATCACTCTTAACTGCGTCGGTAAGCCCATCGTAGACGGCAAATGCTCCTCCAGACAAAAACAAGGGAAGCACTGATTGTAGTTCTTTAACCTTCTGAAGTTTACATACAAGCTCTAACTTTTTCAGCCATTCCGAGAAGTCTCCTTCGCCATCATACAACTTTACCAAATCCGAAAATCTTGTACCGTTTCCAGACATGCCGAAATAGCTTGTGGGAAAATAAAACTCTTCAGAACTTTCTACAACTTAGTTATATTTTACACTTTAAAAAAACAGGACAACAAAACGAACCTTCTCTAAACATTATATTCAACTCAACACCCATTAGTCACCATGACAACCGAAATATCCAAAATCGTAAACATAAAGGACACTAGTCAGCTGATGCTAGTTCACAGCTACACTTATAATGAAAATAATATATATCCAGCAGCCTACATACCAAAACATCTTGAATCCCTGGTGATTTTATAAAAGTATGATCGAATATGATTACTCTACGTTGTATATTCACTGCACTAAAACAATTTACTTACGAAGGAATGCAAATACACCATTTTAGAACCAATAACATTTATAGGTTATTTTAGTTGTATATATTTACACAACCTTAACCTTAAAATGTGTAGAAATATAAAGAAAACAACATCATTTAAAATAAACTTGATCATATGATTTAAAAATAAAAACAAAACAGAAGTTAGATTTAATTTTGACTCTTTGATTATTTATACAGAATATATTTATTCTATGTCGTTTATTCCTTTAACACGACAATAACGTAAAAGCATGAAAAAATGAAACTTGAGTATATGATTTAAATATAAACAAAGAATGCAGATGTTTTTCCGACTAATCTTCAATATTTCAGTTTTATTATAGTATACATTTCATAGTTGACTGGCTAAAAGTAAACCAAATGTGTGTATTGATCACTGTTTTCAAATCTGTGGCACAGCTATTTTAATTTCAAAAGATGTAAACAAATTAAACCCCATGATGTCTAATGGGAAAAGTTTTATTCTGTTGCGAATTTATGGTAAAAAAATAAGAAAAATGAATAGTTTTCCCTCAAAATTCACGTCAAGACCTTTAAAATAAGACCCCTCCCATCCTTCTACGGCCATCCAGTCACTCACAATTTCTTTACAAAAATTTGACTTACGGAATTATATATATAGATAGATATTTCTTAAACACTTTCCTCAAAAATTGTTCAAAATAGGCCACAGAGAATATGTTACAATAAAAGTGAAACTGGGCCCATAACCACTTGTTTATAATTGGTTTTCCTTTATAATAATTAGGAGTAAAATGACTACACAGTATGGTTTCTAAAGTCCATAGTGGAAGTGATGTTTATTTACAACAAAAAATAAACATAGCAAACACATGGCATATAATTAACACATGACAGCTGCTTCTAACTTAGTACCAAGAAGGCAATGAGGAACAAGATTACAAATAAATTCCAACATAATACAGTATCTTGAGCTCAACTGATTTAAACGATCAATAGCTCAAATTAAAGCCTATAATTTACTGATTATTTTGAGTCTAAAACATATAAAAAACATGAACAATACTGGAGCTATTGATTTGTAACCTTAGAAAACCCTTTATAAAAAAAAAAAATTATGTCGGTTGTTAACCTTGCGTTTGCTTCAAACTCGTCCGATTTGAATAGGTATAAACTTAGCTTAAAAGAAAGCCGGTATTTCACTGAAGGTTCTTAGACCAAAATGTATAGGATTAGGCCTATATAATTATTAAATTTATTACTTTACCAGTGATCCGGAGGCTAACAACATGAAGTATATAATTATAACTGGTGAAATACATCTTAAATAAAAATACCCCCGCCGCAGCAAACCTGCAGACTAAGTGAATTTCCATTTGTTTGATTGGATTTGCACTAAAAATCCTCCTTCACATTTGTTCCCTATTAAAATAGAATTAGTTTAACGAGTACTTAGGTTTGCTGCAACAGGGAGGGTAAAAAAGTGTTTTTTGTTGTCAAATGTCAATAGTTTAGTAATAAATTAATGTATTTTCCAAATTTTATCAAAATATCCTATATTCTAATATGAGCAATGTTTGCTTGTATGTATGTATGTATGTATGTATGTATGTATGTATGTATGTATGCTTGCACCAAGATCTCGAAAACGGCTCCGCCGATTTTCTTCAAATGTTGTAAATTGTTTATTCCTGGCCTAAAAACGAGTTTACTGCAGTTAGAACTGCCAACAAATATCTAATTACGTAGAAAAATGAAACTGAAAGTCACATTTTTTTTACATTAGTCTTATGAGTTGCTAAGTAACCATTTTGGCTGGATTAAATAACAAGGAAAAAGTAAACAAAAGACTTTTAAGTTAGTTGTCTATCCACAGTATTCTAGCAAATTACAAATACAGTACAAAAGGAAAAACATCAGTTGTTACTATTGAGCAAAGATTATACTGAAGATTACTCGATGCATTGTAGTCAAGGGTAGCAGTGAGGAGTGTGGGATCTGTTTATGACGATTAGATTAAGGTATCTGCAATCCTAAAATGCTATGGGAAGGGAGTAAAACAGGTCCGAGACGTAGGAAGTGATGAAGGAAGAAGTAAAGGCGAGCAGTCCGGAGTGTGGGAACTGTTTATGACGATTAGATTAAGGTATCTGCAATCCTAAAATGCTATGGGAAGGGAGTAAAACAGGTCCGAGACGTAGGAAGTGATAAAGGAAGAAGTAAAGGCGAGCAGTCCGGAGTGTGGGAACTGTTTATGACGATTAGATTAAGGTATCTGCTATCCTAAAATGTTATGGGAAGGGAGGGAAACAGGTCCGTGACGTAGGAAGTGATAAAAGAAGTAGTAAAGGCAAGTAGTCCGGAGTGTGGGAACTGTTTATGACGATTAGATTAAGGTATCTGCAATCCTTAAATGCTATGGGAAGGGAAGGAAACAGGTCCGCGACGTAGGAAGTGATGAAGGAAGTAGTAAAGACGAACAGTCTGGAGTGTGGGAACTGTTTATGACGATTAGATTAAGGTATCTGCTATCCTAAAATGTTATGGGAAGGGAGGGAAACAGGTCCGTGACGTAGGAAGTGATGAAGGAAGTAGTAAAGACAAGCAGTCCGGAGTGTGGGAACTGTTTATGACGATTAGATTAAGCTATCTGCAATCCTAAAATGCTATGGGAAGGGAGGGAAACAGGTCCGTGACGTAGGAAGTGATGAAGGAAGTAGTAAAGACGAGCACTCCGGTGTGTGGAAACTGTTTATGACGATTAGATTAAGGTATCTGTAATCCTAAAATGCTATGGGAAGGGAGTAAAACAGGTCCGAGACGTAGGAAGTGATAAAGGAAGAAGTAAAGGCGAGCAGTCCGGAGTGTGGGAACTGTTTATGACGATTAGATTAAGGTATCTTCAATCCTAAAATGCTATGGGAAGGGAGGAAATAGGTCCGAGACGTAGGAAGTGATGAAAGAAGTAGTAAAGGCAAGTAGTCCGGAGTGTGGGAACTGTTTATGACGATTAGATTAAGGTATCTGCAATCCTTAAATGCTATGGGAAGGGAAGGAAACAGGTCCGCGACGTAGGAAGTGATGAAGGAAGTAGTAAAGACGAGCAGTCCGGAGTGTGGGAACTGTTTATGACGATTAGATTAAGGTATCTGCTATCCTAAAATGTTATGGGAAGGGAGGGAAACAGGTCCGTGACGTAGGAAGTGATGAAGGAAGTAGTAAAGACAAGCAGTCCGGAGTGTGGGAACTGTTTATGACGATTAGATTAAGCTATCTGCAATCCTAAAATGCTATGGGAAGGGAGGGAAACAGGTCCGTGACGTAGGAAGTGATGAAGGAAGTAGTAAAGACGAGCACTCCGGTGTGTGGAAACTGTTTATGACGATTAGATTAAGGTATCTGTAATCCTAAAATGCTATGGGAAGGGAGGAAAACAGGTCCGAGACGTAGGAAGTAGTGAAGGAAGTAGTAAAGGAAAGCAGTGTGGAGAGTTGGAACTGGAAACCGTTTGTAGCAGTTAGGTTAATGTATCTGCAATACTGAAATGCTATAGAAGGGAAGGAAACGTTTCCATGACATAGGAAATGGTGAAAGAAGTAGTAAAGGCTAGCAGTTCGGAGTCTGGGGAATCTTGTGGCAATTATATAAATTTATCTAAA